TGCGTTACATAACGCTTGGGTGGAAATACCACGGCTCAAAGAGTGGCTTCCCGTCGCCGTGGATGCAGAGTTATCGTTCCAGTGACGTCACACGGGCTTGAGTAATTGCGGGAAAGCGCGCGCAGATTTGAGAACTCAAGTCTCCGTTATGCCGGCTTCACGTGGACTGTGAGCGTGAACAGCTGGAGCTGGGTGTAACCCAGGAAAAGTTACTGGACAGCGTGAGAGCTGTGGCGGGATGTCTTAAATAAAGTCCGCCACCCACAGCTTTAAATTTAGTGAATGAAACTGTGTGAAGCACCCTTATGCATCATGTTACGCTTTCACTCTTAGCTACTATTTTCAGTATTAGCACGGTTTTCAGACGCTTTCACACGACTTTATAAATAGCACAAGGACATCATTGTTTGGATTGTTTTTTGTTTTTTTGTTTTTTTTTTACTATTTAATTTGTAAAAATGTGTATACACACACACACACACACACACACACACACACACACACACACACACACACACACACACGTAGGAAAATATTTAGTATACACATCCAGAAATGCATACACTATTATATATTGTACATATATTTATTAGTTTCAGGTTGGCCATTCTTGTATTTTGCTCGTTTGTGTTGTTGTGTTTGCACATCTCTGTTGCTTGTGGGGCTCGCACACAAGAATTTCACTCGCATGTGCTGTGCCAGTGTGCCTGCACATGTGATGTGACAATAAAAGTGATTTGATTTGATTTGGTTATCTGTCCTGCTGAAAGGGTTAAACAATCAGTCAACCTATTACATAACAGCCTCTTACTAAACACCACGTTCAACAGAAAAGGAGGGAAATTACGAGAACATGAACCTGCCATAGGTTGCTTTTTTCCCTTCTTAATCCTGACTTGTTGACACACTGGGAACTGGCAAACGGGAACAGTAATAACCTCCTCAGTCCTCTCATTGCTCCTCTACTCAGCTAATCGTCTTCGAAAGTCAATATTAAAGCCTGTGCTTTATTTATAAAAGATATCACATTTACGTTATTTAAAATTTTAGTTGGCTGAAGGGGAATTTTACATCGAATTTAAACACTAAAAAGTTTTTTTTTTTTTTAAAAAAAGACCCTTTGTGCATTATTTATTACATAAACGAGGACTAAATATGGGGAAACCTGTACTGATGTGGAGTTTGAACTACCTGAAGTGAAACCGTGAAACAGAAAATGATGTTCAACAAATCAGAAGGAAAAAATCCCAAAGCGCCACTAGCTGGAAGTGGATTCAACAGGTTGCTCTGAGTGAGCTTTTTGTTAAATGTGGTCTTCTTCTTTTAAGGGTCACCATTGTGGATCTGTCTCCATCTCACTAACTCGCATGCCCTCCTTCAAGAATCTTCTCTCAGGTTTTCCTCTTTTCTGCTCAGCTTTCTCACTTCTCCAAACCATATAGCAGATCTCACTATCATCCCTTTCACTCTCGCTGAATCCTTTTTTTTTTTGTAATACTTTCTCTTTATTGATTTTCATCTTATGTTACATACAGAACTAAAGAGGGCAAGGGAAACCAACACATTCACATATGTTCACATCGCCTCGTTTTACTTGCATATATTACATATTACACAGGTGCATGTTCCATTCAAACAAATCCACAGCTGTCCCTCTGCATCACACAGGTATCAGTTTCTAGTCTTTTAACGTATAATGATCCAATCTCTCCCAAACTCTCTCCTTTCTCCTTCTGTAGCCGCAGTGAGAGGGTAATCAGTTCCATATGATGAATTGTGTTAATAATGTCTATGACCAGCTTCCGTGTGGGGGGGCTTGTCTGTAACCAACATTTAGTAATTGCCTTTTTGCATGCAACCATAATTATTTTCAGTAAGTGTGAGTCTCTTTTGTTTATATCCTCAGGGATATTCCCAAGGTACATGGTACTAAAGGAGAAGTCCAGTGTTACTTCCAGCACATCCATCACCAGTTGTTTAATCTCCTCCCAAAAGGTCTTCAGTTTAGGGCATGACCAGAAGACATAGAAGCAACCTGCAGCGACCTCCCCGCACTCCCTCCAGCATGAAGCGCCTGAACCACTTATTTTGGATTTCTGCTTTGGTGTGATGAAGAATCTAATTAAATTCTTCCATCCAAAATCTCGCCATGTTAAAGAATTTGTGGTAGATAACACATTCTTCCACATCCGCGACCAATCTTCCTCTGAGATAGTTATACCTGCTTCTATTTCCCATCGATGACTGACATATCTTGTTGAGGTCTTTTTCATAGCTATAAAACTTCTATACACTTTGCCTGTAGTACCTCTTATAATGTTCTCACCATAAGCATCCATAAATATTTGGATCACCCCACTAGCATCTGCGTCAGGCATTCTAACTTCCTTCCGGAAGAAGCTCCGAACCTGTAGGTAGCGATAAAAATCTTCCCTGCTGATCTCGTAAATCTGACACATCCTCAAAATTTATCAGCTCCCCATGCTTCACTATCTTACAGACTGCAGTGATTCCATGCCTGGACCACTCCCTAAATTTATGGTCTAATAATGCTGGAAGGAAGCGTGGGAGATACGCTGGCCATCCCAGCAACCCTATTTCCCTATTAAGACCAAAAATTTTAATCACATCTGCCCATTTTTTCAGAGAAAAACTTACACAGAAATTTTGCATCTGATATGCCTGTGGCAAACTCTCAAGAGACCCCAGAACAAACTGTATTGGGAAATCAATCAAAGAAAGCTCAATGTCCTTCCATTTTGCCTCATACTTAGTTACACCAGCACACTAGAGGTCTGATCTGGGCTGCCAGATAGTAATCCTCAAAGCATGGTAGGGCCATCCCCCCCGCTCACCAGGCAGCTGCAATATTGCATATCTCACTCTCTGCCTTTTATTTCCCCATATGAATCTTGAGCAATGCATATCCCACTCCCTAAATTGTTTTGCTGGAACCTCCACTGGAAGTGCTGCAAACAAATATAGCAGCTTTGGGAGGATATTTATCTTTATCGCTCTAACTCTGCTGGCCAGATCGAGGTGGAGCAGACCCCACCTCTCCAGATCTTCATAAACTGCTGGAAATTGGACTTCCTTCTACCACCTGCCGCTGGAGCAGAGACTTCCTTTCAGACCGTGTACAGAGAGTTAGAGTGGGGCCTCATCTTTCCTCAGCCCTCAGCCTTAACACCGGCTCTCCCCAAGGCTGTGTACTGAGTCCCCTACTGTACACTCTGTACACACATGACTGTGTTAGTTCCCACCCAGACAACACAGTCATTAAGTTTGCAGATGATACCACCGTGGTGGGGCTCATCTCAGGGGGAGATGAGACGGCGTACAGAGCTGAAGTTCAGAGGCTGACAGATTGGTGTGTAGACAACAACCTGGACCTCAATACCACCAAGACAGAAGAACTGGTAGTTGACTTCAGAAGGAGGAAGTCCGAGCTGCAGCCTGTCAGCATAAACGGGGAGTGCGTGGAAAGGGTGTCCAGTTTCAAGTTTCTGGGTGTGCACATAGACACAGACCTCCAATGGAGCTCTAACACCTCTGCGGTCTTAAAGAAGGCCCAACAGCGTCTCCACTTTCTGAGAATCCTCAGAAAAATGGACCTGAAGAAGGAGCTGCTGACCGTCTTCTACCGCTGCTCCATTGAAAGTGTGCTGACATATTGCATCGGTGTGTGGTTCTCCAGCTGCACCACAGCACACAGAAAGGCACTCCAGAGGGTCATCAATATGGCCCAAAAAAATCCTTGGACATCCTCTTCTCTCCCTGAAGGACCTGTACAGCACTCGCTGTCTCAAGAGGGCACGCAGCATCCTACTGGACTGCACACACCCAGGACACCGGGTGTTTAAGCTGCTGCCGTCTGGCAGGAGGTTCAGGCTGCTGAGGACAAATAGACTCAAGGACAGCTTTTACAACAGAGCAATACCCTGATCAATGCAAACAGCTGACCTGACCTGGCTACCTACCTGGACTTTTTTTTGGGGGGCGGGGTAACAACGGTAAAAACAGTAACAATAATAATATTTATATTTATAACAAGGTGCAGTAATAATTAATGTGCAATACAAATACTTATTCTTTTTTTTTAATAAGTTAATATACTGTGTTGTGTTGTTTGTGTTGCGCTGTGATGTGTCATATCGTGTTGTGTTATATGTAGTGCCGACGTAGGACAGTTTTCCAATTTCATTGTACTACTATACTATGTATGACTGTGCAATGACTGTAAAGAGTTATCTTATCTTATATATCTTCTCTTTCACCCGATTATAATTAACTTCATATAACAATGCAAGGTCTTTGTCAGCAGGATCCCCAAGTACTCCATTGAGATTGATGTCATCCGAATCTATATCTTGCTACCAATTGTCTTGAGGGGTTAAAAAAGAACGTCAAGCTTTGAGTTTTTTGAATGTTTAGTCTGTAACAGGACAGTCTGCCATATTCTTCCAGTATTTCCATAAGCAGAGGGATTCCCTCTTCCGGGTTTCCTAGCGCTATGTCTGCATACAAGCAAATTTTATTTTCCACGTTCCCCGTTGTAACCCCCTCCAATCGAGTCTCTTCCCTGAGGCATTGAGCACTCTCGCTGAATCCTATCAAAAATGACCCCTGACACTCATCTCCACCTGCTCCACCCTTCCTGGACTCTGTTGCTCTGAATATTTGACCCAAGGTGTTTAAACTCATTTTACCTTCATTGCACTGCTTATAATGAAGAGAGTTGCTTGAGATTTATATTAAATGCAAAAAAGTAATACTTGCGAATGAAAATAAAGCTATGAAAGCTATTTAAAAAGAGTGAAGCCTCATTTACAAAGCAGCTAGGGTTAAATAAAGGCACATCTTTAATTCAGCTGAAACAATGCTCTGGGCTTCTTCACACATCAAGAGCGCCCTCTGGTGGGGGTTAAATGCTCAGAGTACATTGGTACTTTATTAATCTTAGGAAAGGTGTGAGGAAAAAAATACAAAAAAACCCCAACTTTTTTTTAAAACCAACCAGTATTTTTAATTGAGACAATTTCACATAGTATCAAACAAAAGAAAAAAAATGAAAAACTTCACAGACAAAAATCTGACCTCTGCTCCTTGTAGTTATTTTGATTCACTGGACAGATTTGCATTTGAAAAGGCTGCCTTTTTTTTTTTTAAATAAACAAAAACAGCCAACCACTAACAGATGGAAAACTTCATTATGAAGAGTGTAGCTAGAAAAAAAATAGTTGGCTTACAAACAAACAAAAAGGGATTTATCCCATCTTTTTCTTTTTTTTTAAAAAAATGCTGACATTTACACAGTGAAAAATGACGGACTACTCACACGATGTCTAACTACACAGAACATTCTTCAAGAAAACAAAAGCTCAGAGATTAACTGGTGAACTGGAATGCTGGGTGGCACTACTGTTTCAGGACCAGCAAGACAGACATGGCACAGGTGAGCTATTATACCTGTACACGCCCAGTCACTGTATTTGAAAGTCACCACAACAGGAAAAAGGGAGGGACACTAAAATGCTTGATTGTTGTTGTTTTCTTTAAAAAAAAAAAAAAAAAAAAAAAAAAGGAAAAAAAAAAAAAAAAGAAGACAAAAGTGACCTCACGGTCATGATGAGTCCATCATATGAAACGGGAAAGTCCGTAAAACCGTTCATCTTCAGCTCCCTTTACACCTGGCAGACCTCTTATCTTCTGCCATTAGACCTGGAGCGGCTGTGAGGGAGAACAAGACAAAAAATAAACACATTTCAGCTCATTTTTGCATTAAAGCGCCCTTCACCAATCACAAACAATCAAATTGGGTTTTAAATACACCTGAAATGTGTTTGTGGGAGTTTGTGCTGCGTATAACATCACACCCACAGGATGCCAGATTCATTAATCGTGTGACCAACAGCAGCAGACTGATGTCACACATACTCACACACTCAGCTGAGTGGTTATTGATCGGTTTACTCTGAGGCGGATACTCTGGGTTAGAGCTGGGCGATTGAACGATAACGATATGTATTGCGAAATAACCTTTTCTCGATAGAAAAATTAAAACTATTGCGATAGACCTCACCGCTCTTGTCCTCTTAAAAACAAAAAAACCCCAAAAAAAAACAGCCAATCCAAATTAAGTAGTGCAGAGCCGAACCAATCACAGCCGGAGCGTCACTTCACGTGACCTGTTACGTACAGCACAAGTGCCAAGCCGCACATGTGTATTTGTTTTGGGAAGCAGCCAGCCGCTTTGCCGCCCGGGGAACGGAGGAAATGAGTGTGTCGACTAGAAGGTTACCGAAGAGAAAACAGATGATGGTTCCAATGCCGGAGAGATTGTCGAACGGAAGAGCCATAGAAGTTCCATAGTGTGAAGGTATTTCGGCTATTTCAAGTCTCACAAAAAGAGTAGCGCGCACTATAAATTGTGCCGAAAGCAAGTCTGGAAATGCAATAAACCGGTGCATGCTCAATCTCTGACTGGAAGCTCTAATTCGTCATTCGGCTTTTGTCAGACTAAAGTAACTGTTAAAACTGTTTGAAAAGCTAAGCTATACAACAAGGAGAGATTGAGAATTTCCTTTTAGTTCTCAGTGTATTTGATATTGACAAAAGTTAGTCAGTTTTGTCTGTTCTTCTGTAAAACAAACTAAGATTTATTTTTAGAATTAATATTTTGTTTCTAAGTGGAATTGACAATTTAGTCTGTTTCGTTTGTTCTATTTTGAAACTTAAACGCTTTAGCGGCTGCCTTTTGTGTAGTTTGCAATATTTGCCTTTATTTATCTGAAAAAGTCTCATGTTTCTTTAGTACATCTACCCTCTTGAACTTATTATGGGAAATAAATATTTAAATCAAAACAAGCTGCTGATTATTTCACATTTTACTTGTGAGCAACGGCACATTTAAATCTTACAAATATAGTTATTTGGCTTATATCGTGATAGATATCGTTATCGCCTGAAATGAAAAAAACATATCGCGATATGAAAAAATCTCATATCGCCCAGCTCTACTCTGGGTCATACATCTCTTTACTTTCAGCAGAGAAACAGGTGCTGCCACCAAACACCCTATGATAACCCTCTTTTTTTAAATTTCAAAGCCTACTTCAACTAACTGGATAAAACAGATATCAACAAACCTGCAACACCCCCAAGTTTTGGGCAACCATTTAGTCACCAAGAATAGCAATAAGTCGTGGTTTTTTTTTTTAAGAAGGTGGCTGTCCTGTTTTTTTACTGGTGGGATGGAGACATTTGCTTGCTCTGGATTAAGAGGCAGCCTTGACAGGAGTATCCGGTGTTGGATGGCTTTTCAGTCGAGCTGACTTTATCTCAGTTTGTCAGCTATGAACCAACACTGTCACTGTAAATTAATATCCCAATATTTTATTTAAATAAATAATGTTTGTCTATTTGATGAGTTGCTAACAACCCTACTTTAATGGACTGAAATAATCTTCACACAGTTCAAGGTGTACAAGTACCTTCTTGATCGAGAGAAGGATCTCGAAGGTTTGTGGTTCCTGTCCCGGGAGAGGGACCTCTCTCTCCTCCTGTCTCTGGAGAAAGACCTGAAGAAGAAAAACATCCTATTATAAAAATTTTATAACTTTTTTATAACTTTTTTTTTTTTTAAACAAAAACAGTTTAACCAAAAGTTAGATATATTTAAAAAGATGGTGGTTTGCTTTCAAATTACATTTAATTTAGTGTAAAGATGCACGTAAACAAGGTCTGAAATCTGTAAACATGAATATATTAAGTGTGCATATGTACACACTCAGTCTTCACTTAGTGTAAGCCGACTCCACATCATATCAATTAGCGCAGAGCTTACACTGCATCATCACAGAAACAGCAACAAAGGTTCAAACAGGCTGTAAAGTTAAACAAGCACCTCTGCAAAAAACATTTCAGCTTCCACGCAGGTCAGGTTTAGCGCAACACTTCTGCATCACATTTGTATGCTACAAATAAAACACATGCATACACAATGCTGAAATTATAGAGTTAATCTCATGCAGCGTGAAAGATGACTTGCCTGCTACGGCTGCGGCTGAAGCTCCTCCTGCGTGGGGATCTGCGCAGGGAAAATACAAACGTGTTAAGGACGAAGACAGATAGATTGATCACTGTGTAGAGCTCCACATTATTTACTCCTTTTCTTACACGGGGCTCCCTCAGCACAGCCCTTTGGCTATTTCAAGAACTCAAAATGGAAGTAAACGACTTGCATGTTTTTCCAAGGAAAACAAAGACTTCAACCAGAAAACAGAAGTCACTGGCAGTGGACCCAGCACATAAAGATGGCAGGTGCAGAGGAAACCACCTCTCACCTTTCCCACAGTAACACATGCACCTTTCAATAAAGTCCAATTATATTTCAGTCTAACTTTGAAATGCAGATTAGGATTCGTCCCGTGATTCATAAGCAGTAGATTCAGAGCTCCGAGGCATGAAACCCCAGCAGGATTTTCATCTTAAGGTAGTTTGATATCGTACTGTGGATCGGCTCTGATGTGGGGAATCAAAAACCCAGCACACCATTTGGGCCACCATCTGTATGAATTCAGTCCACTGCACTTTAAGGGAAAAATGTACAGAAATGGAAATTGGTACCAAAATTTATTTTTCACAGGGAATAAGCCTCGTGAAACAGCCAGGCTAAGATCTCAAACCGGGAACACACACACACACACAAAGATCTGATATTCATAGGGGGTGTTTAAGGAAAGTTTTGATGTGACTTCATAATTCTGCTCAGAGCCCCAAGACATACCAGATGATTATCTATCATCGAAATCTCTGGAAACATGACGTTCCAGATATTTGATGTTGGTCCATCCCCCTTTGAAACAAGGACTACAGAAATGGTGGACGACAAAATGACAAACTTATGATTAAAATAATAATAATTAAAAAAAAAAAAAAGAACAACCCTTTTAAACCAGCTGTCTCTTCACTTTTAAAACTGTAATCAGCAGTGTACTGAATGAAGCAGGAAAACTTACTAGTATTTTTGGTTTTCAACAAGCTAGAAATGACGAAAGGGAGGCAGACTGTCGGCCGGGTGGGTAGAATTGGCTGAATAGGACTGGCCAGATGCTGCAAGGTGATTAGGTGGCAGGCAGATGGGGGCTGGCTGTGGCTTTTTTCCTGCTTTAATTGGTTAGCCGAAGGCTGCTGCTGGTAGGTTGTAGACATTTGGGAACGTAATACGCTGATTGGTCGGGAATGTGAGGTGGCCGCTGCCGTTTGGGTTAAGGTTGAAGGAGGAGGAGGTTGAGAACGGCATGCTGAGGAACCAATGGGCTGGTGCAACCTGACGACTGGCCATGCCTGGGTCATGTGACAGCACCAGCCAAGCTGATTGCGGCCCGATGATCAGCAGTCACATGATGCTGAAAGAGGACTAGTTGATTGACTCAGAGGGTGGTGAGAAGAGGCATGGTGGTGGCTCTGCAACGGGTTCATTCTTATTAATATAGATGAAAAATAAAAAGCATCCTCAAACAAAAAGAAAAAAAATTGCATCACATTTGGCACTTTTATTCCCCCCAAAATGTATACTTATACTTAGCCTATACTTTTACTGACTGCCTAAATCTGTTTCCCCACACCCATTTTTGCCTTTTTAAAACAGTTAAAATGAGACTGCACAAAAATGTGCGTTTCAAAGGAAGCATTTGTGCCTTAAGTATAACCTAGGTCTTGCAGACCACACTTTAGATGCCTCAGAAACAGAAAGGCAGCCCTCTCTATATTCTGAAATAATGCCCCTTTTCCACTACATGATGGTGAATGACTATCTGTGTGGCTCCTTCCATAAAATGACCATTAATGTCAATGAAGATGAATCTGCAAGTCTTAGGCATTGCAACACCCACAAATATATAATCACCAGAAAAGGTCACAAACACTAGAAATACCTACACTGGAAACCCAAATGCAATTAAAGGGAACTGTACTGTGGGCAAGAAAGTTGAACCGGTAAGTGACCAAGCAAGAATAAAGTGCAGAATAGATTGGTTATCGTGTCTACTGGCCAACAACAACATGTAGGTCACCTGCGTCTGGGTGGTGGGCTACGCCGCCTGTAGTCGTCTCGGTCTCTAGGACGCCTGCTCCATGAAGGGGGAGCGCCTCGAGTGCGGCTACGCTTCTCGCCAGTAGATAACTCCACACGCACCCGACAGCCACACAAAGTCCTGCAAAAGAAAAAAAAACAAAAAACAAAAACAAACAAACACATGAATAGAAAGTATTTTTCCTCGTTTTTCCAATAAAATGACTTACTTAGCACACTTCAGTGGGCTGAATATATCATTTGAATGTCTAAATGTAGTCTAAATGTCTGCTAATGTAACAGATGTGATGACCAATAACATGTTATCATTGTTAAAAGTGTGACTGCATGAGAGGAACTCTCCTTTCTGCAGAATGGGAGCAATGTCAGGAACTTGGAGGAAAGAGTAGTACCGATCCAATAGCAATACCTTCATTTAAGTAGACTACTCATTGGGATGCAGCGTTTTCAGTAGGAGAAACGTTTCATCATCTTCCACTGAAAACGCCATGTGCAGATAAACAGAATCCACTTTCCTGACCTGGATGATTGAGCATGCATAAACTGATTTGCATAGGTTGCCACCTACCTTCCATCAAGCTCCCGCACGGCATCAGTTGCATCTCTGGGATCTTCGAACTCTACAAAGGCGAAGCCTGGGGGGTTCCTGGCCACCCAAACACTCCGGAGAGGACCATAGTAGCCAAATGCTCTTTCTAACTCTGTCTTGTTTCCATTGTTGCCGAGATTTCCAACGTAGACCTTGCAGTCAAGGGGACAGTCACGATGCATGACTGTATCTGAAAAGTGAGCAGAATAATATTAATGTTTTAGCTCTAAGACAAAGACTGGTAAATGGCCTGTATTTGTATAGCGCTTTACTTAGTCCCTATGGACCCCAAAGCGCTTTACACTACATACACTACAAAGACTGGTCACACTCTCTCTCACTTAGCCATTTACTCACAAACGAATTGAGATCTTGGCCTACTTCCTGCGCTGGATTTGCAGGTTATGCTAACGGAAACTTAAAAAACAAACAAACAAAAACAGACAGCCAGACGAAGCGAATCCCAAATGCCTTAGTTAACTCGTTTGCTTTATATCTCCAACTATATTGTTGCATATTCGACGCTGCATTGTGTTTCGAGGCTAATAGCTTATTTACAGGGAGCTAAAATGGCTGCCGCCTACCGAGGCCTACTCAGCGGTAGCAGCACTCTGCTAGCAGCCGCAGAAATTTATACTATACATTCACATATGTGAAGTAAACTCACAACAGGTCGTTTTGCAAACATATAACAACGCAATACATTGAAACGCTACCGTTTTAGGTGTAAATATCAGCTCAGATTATCGATTGTGATCCGGCTAAATTGTGCCTTTTCGTCTTCGGTGGAAAATGGCGTGACGTCAGTGGATTAACAGGATGCCACTTTCGAGAGGGCGGGTTTAATGTCGCCTCCTTCCTTTGCCCCCCCTCCCGAACAACAGTTGTCCAAGTTTTGGCTGCCTTTTCACTCTATCCAGTCCTTGTACATGACCTTCAGAGGAATGTTTTGTTTACAGTGTGAATACATTTACCAGAGCTCAAGGAAAAATTATGATACTAACGAGTTACATAGCATAGTTAAATTGATGTAAAGTATTTCTTCAAATGATATTAAGAGCAATAGAGATATTTGAACTAATAAAGGTATAAATAAATTGTACTCTGTACAATAAAGCATTTTAGGACTCTTCTCTCGGTTGCTCCCTTAGGGGTCTCCGCCACAGTGGTCATCTGGTCATCTGTCTCCATTTCACCCTATCCCTGGCCTCCAGCCCTCATCATGCCCTACTTCACTACATCCATGAATCTTATCTGTGGTCTTTCTCTTTTTCTACTGCGTTGCACCTTCATCTTCAACATCCCTTGTAAAATATATTCACTAACCCACCTATCCCACGTCCAATCCATCTCAGCCTTGCTTCTCTAACTTTGTGTCCAAACCTCTTCCACCAGCTCCCTACCCTCACTAGTGATTACAATGTTGTCTACAAACATTATAGTCCACATAGACTCCTGTCTGACCTCATCTGTTAGCTTGTCCATCACCCCTCCAAACAAGAAAGGACTACATTGCCGATCCTCTGATGTAATCACCCACCCACCTTAAACCCATCCTTCACTCCTACCATATTATTACTGAGATACTAATGTACAAATGTAATGCATACTTGAAAACATTTTTTTCTGTTTTTGAAAAGAGTAAGTTGTGGCTAATAAGATAACTTCATTCGCAGTATCACAGAAAAGAAGTGGAAAAATAATAAATAAAACGTGTTATGGTTGTATTTTCTTGGCAAGATTTTTCTAAGTTTTTTCTGCCAGTGGTTTTCCAAAATAATAGCTTGATCCACGTATAACTGATACACGTCCAATTTCCTGAGTACAAAGGCTGCTTTACTCCCTGCCAAAACAAATGAGTACACACTGTGTTTATTTACAGTGTGGAATTGGGACATACTTCCTGCTTAGACTACGACTAAAATGTGGGGGAAACTGTAACTGTAAAGTTAAAGTTACATACGTCCGCCATATCTCACAAAACCGAAAGTACTATACTATAACGGGATCTAATATGTCAAATTTGGCCAAAAGGGCAATATATATATACATTAAAATATAAATTAAAGGACGTGTTCATCGTTCGTTACGTGCTATCCCAGTTACCCTGAACGTAGCTTAACACGCGAGCCGCCCACTCAGTCTGTTAGTAACCGCCCACAAAGTTGGTCAGCCAGGTGACAGGAGAGCCAGCCGGGAAACAGCACGGACCACGTCCCGCCTGCGTTAGGAAGTCGACTACGTAACGATTCACAACCAAATCAAAGTCGACTAGCCAAAACCACCTGCTTAAATCCTGCGTTTATTGCCTGCTTTCACGTGCTCGCAATCTGACAGCCTCTTATCCGTCAGCAGTTGCGACGTAACCAGCTAGCAGTTCGAGGACACTCATAACATAACGCTAGCCTCTGACGTTAGAGAAGACTCAACGGTTGGTTGTTGTATTTCTGTCCGGGTAAAGATAGATAAGCCAGCAGCGAGATGTCCGAACCGGTCGGAGAGGCGAAGCTGGAGGTGAAGCAAGCGAGCAAAGAGGTGAAGGAGAGCGAGAACGTAGCGGAAAAATATTCAGCCATGACCGTGAGCAAAAACAGCGAAATAACCATGGGAGAGCTGTCGACTGTCTTCAGCGCTGTGCCCACTCACAAACCGGTTAAAAAGGTAAGTCTGCACCAGGTGTAAGCATAACGGCACCGAGGAGGACCCTTGGATAATAAAACAAACCTCCAAGGCTCTTTTTAGCGCGATAACAGCACTTTATAGGTGCTGTATCTTCTTTGTCAGACTTAACCTTCTTTTTGCAACGTGAATACATTTTACTAGAGCTCAAAGACTTCTGATTTTAAGAAAATATATTTGGTACTAATGAGTTATATGTCACAGGGGGTTAGGTATCTGTGCACCAATAACAGTCCACACACATTGCTATTGCGTGTGACAAGAGAATTAAAAAGTTGTTTAAACCCACATTAAGTAATTAAAGAGTCACACGTCAAGTCCAAAGAAACTTAAGCATTTTCTGCATGTGTATAATGGCTCACACCTCTATTAATAACTATAAAACTTTATAATTGTGCATTTTTATTCACATATTACAAATCCCAAATTTACTACAGTTTCAGCACACTTTCAGCAGCGGCTTCTGACCTGAAATTGCGAAACAAAAGAACCACTTTTTCCTTGTAAAACTTGCAAAAAGTTATTTGACACACTCCAGGAACAAGGAAGAGCTGCGCCTTTCACTTTTGAGGCTGAATGGACAGTGTTTGCACACTCCATATAAGTTACACTGAAGTGGACAAATCACAATGCACAATGCAACAGTTTTTGCATTTGGAAAGCATATAGCTCGACATGGGGCTCGGAGTCTGTCAAATGCAAGAGTCAGCATGCTCAGCCAAGAACATATTAGGCAGACGTTCCTGTTATACTTGACTGTTTCACATCCTCATACTGTTTTAGGGAGGATCTTTACACTGAAGCATCACTAGCTTGCAAACAGGAGCCAAACATTTGACCCTAAGTTTTTGTATTGTTGAATTCAAAATAGTTGTGCTCAGCTGATATCAAGAAGAATTGGGAAATGTGAACATAAAGGACACTTATCAGCATGTCCTCTATGACAGCACAGTTGAGATTACTGACCTTTTATTTTAAATGTAATGCTTATGTATTCTTACATATTTAGTGTAAGACATTTAAGTTTCAAGCTTACTAATTATTTACAGTTGGAATTGGAGGGATAATGGTTAAGTCTGGGCTTCCTGGAGTTCTGATATCAGAAAGACTGTAATCTCTTTGACAGGCATTTAAAATAAAGCAACAAGTGTGATTAAATCACAGATGGCAAAGAAGAGTATTGTAACACACTTGGGGGGGAAAAAAAGCACACACAAAAAGAAGTTTTAAGTTTTCCTTAAAATATTGCCAAATGGTATGTGCTCAGATTCATTTTTTAAATATCTAGCCCTTACTTCACCTTTAACTTTAGGTTCCATGTGGGGAATATACAGACGGATGTGTCTTCCTCCCACTACATAAAACATGACTACAAAAAAAAAGGTTTCATTTCCTCTGAAATACATTTTGTTTATCAAATGGCCGGAAATAATAGGAACATGCACAGAGTCCTGATTAAATATAGTAATACAGACTCAATACGTACTCAATCATTCTGGTAACCCCCCCCAACAGCTCACATAAAACAGTATGTTTCATTCAGTTGGGCCTTGGGACCCTGAAACCTACACCACCCTACTGAACTATGTGGTGTTTTTCACCTAAATCACAAGAAGACTGCTCCTCATTGTCTTCTGTTACCATGGTGTTTAGCAGGTATGTGGATGGGGCACCTCAAGTCAAGATAATTAATTGGAATGATGAGAATATTTCATTTACAGTTGTTCTATTCATGTTTTATTTATATAGCGCCAAATCACAAAACATTTGCCTCAAGGTGCGTTTATATCGTAAGGTTAAGACTCAACAATCAGACGACCCCTTGAGAGCTAGCACTTGGCAACTGTGGGAAGAAAAACAAATGGCAAACTGTGGAAGTAAAGCACAGATTAATTGTTATGCATGTATATAATTTATTGTCTAGGGTGATCTTTAAATCTGATACTTGGATACTTGGGTCTGATACTCCAACACATTCCAGAAACTGCTGAGGTGGGGCAATCTCCCTGTCCTCTGTTTGCATTGGAGCACCTTGAGAGTGGAAAATCCCTGTCAACATACGTTTTCTTGTTGCTGCAAAAAAAATAAAAAATAAATAAAGCCAAAAATACCCCAAACTGTCCAGGCATGAAGTTAGTTACCGGTACACACAACAAAGATACCAGTCCGGTTTCTTCATCTCGCAGAATTGTGTACCGTTTGCTTTAAAGGGACAAGGTTAAACCCTTATCGTGCAGAGAAATATTTTATTGGAGGCCAAACCCCCCCCAAGATGAGAGCCTGCAGCACACACAGGGAGTAGGACTGTTTCATAGTTCTGAAAAATAATCAGTAGGTACAATTCAGGCTTGCACTCATTTCACGTCAGTTGCTTAAATACCACAACAATGTGAGCAAAATGTCACGTTTGGCTTAACACACTGCGCTGGAACCAGAGCTGGAGAGCTTTGTTTATGTTTTAAAAGGTCATATAAGGTGATTTATTATTTTATTTTTTCCTGCCATGTGTACGCCCCTGCAGGGGATCAAATAACACGACAGGGAATTTTTCGACGTCAGAAAAGCCGAGAGTCGATAGTAACAATCGTTACACAAGCACGAGTCAGATGGGGTCATCGAAATCAAAATATGGCTTGAGCAGCTTAATTTTGGAACATCAGTCTTGATGATGCAGTGTCTGCTGGGCTATAGCCAGACATCCATTTTTGGTAATAAACTGAAATGAGCTCACAAATGTGAGGGGGATTTTTATATTGCCAGTAATTTTCTTGGATTCTGCTCCATTCAAATCTATTAAAGTCATTATACTATACAAGAAAGACAAAAACAGCTCTACTCTGGCTCCTGAAGGACTGTAAGCAATTAACATTTAGCTGAGCCACAAGAAAATTATCACAAGACATTAAACTGCTTGTCTGTGTGTGTGTGTGTGTGTGTGTGTGTGTGTGTGTGTGTGTGTGTGTGTGTGTGTGTGTGTGTGTGTGTGTGTGTGTGTGTGTGTGTGGCTTACATTGTCTGCCCTCTTTTTTTTTTTCTTTTTTTTTTTTCCTTTTTTTAGCAAATCCAGTTTGTGGAGGACAAGCAGGAGTTCAGCAGGTTTCCCACCAAGGCAGGCCGTCGCTCCCTGTCCCGCTCCATCTCCCAGTCCTCCACAGACAGCTACAGCTCTGGTAAGAAGGAGCCAGAATCACGTGTGTGTCATTTGTGATGTAGATGCAAAAGATTTTACACTGTGTTGTATTTACTAAGCTGTACAGTGTGGAAAGGGAGATAATGAGAGGAGTCTATTAGGCCATTTGATGACATCAATATTCGTACATTTCTTTGTTATAGGTTTTGTGGTAATGCTTCTTTTTGTCATCCTCATCTCATTTTGACCTTCAGCAAAAATGTTTGCTTAACTTCCTGAATCTTGAGTTTGGTTGGTGTTAATAATAAAACCCTGTTTTACAGCTGCATCATATACGGATAGCTCTGATGATGAGACCTCGCCACGGGACAAAACTCAGGTCAACAGCAAGGGCAGCAGTGACTTCTGTGTCAAGAACATCAAGCAGGCTGAATTTGGCAGGCGGGAGATTGAGATCGCAGAGCAAGGTCAGCACGAGGAGCGTGAAGTGATCTCAGCATTTCATTTAAGCAACAGCTACTAAATTTACAAGTGTTGTGGAGGAAAACAAAACAGGAATCAAAGGTTAATGTTTAAGTAGCAATGAATAACACTGTCGCCTAAAAATAAATCCCCTTACACAACTGAAGTGTGACATTTCAAGGGTATAATATTTCACCCTGAACATAAGGTTATTTGAAGTTATTTAGTAATGTGAGTAACTTTCTCAGTCTGTCGCTGCTGTAAGTGATATTAATTTGTTTGTAAAAAGGAAAGTAGTTGTCATGATATCACATCTCAAAAGATGTTAAGATCTCTAGCACATAGGGCTGTTCGATATAACAATATATATCGGATGACAATATAAAAACATCTATAGTTTCATTTTACCCCATCATTTGTTTTGTGGTGTCGCAAAATAAACTGTTTACGGCAATATATTTTCATCGTTTTAATGGTCACTGTAGTGGCTATATTCAATTCTTAAAGTTCTCTCTTTCTCTTATATTTTATATAACCACACTACTGACGGACAAGCGCCTGTTTTTATGCGTTGTCGTTATCAACAGCAACAGTAACAGCATCGCGTGTCCGCTTGTTTATGTTCCACATAAAGCTTTCACAATAAAGCTCAAGATCCTGTTGAGACTTTCCAAAATAAACTGAATCACGTGAAAGAGCAGATTGTTTACGGATGACAATTAAAAAATGAGCCGCCAGGTGCTAAAAAAATAAACCTTAGACTCAAACGTTAGAACAGGCAACCCGCAGCGCGCTGTGTAATAAATACAAAGAAAATGGCGGCCGTTACAACTTATGTCTAAAAATGTATAGTTTCATGCATCGGTTAAAACACTCGACTCTGGGTAAAGGACGCGCAGCTGGAAACACTTCACGCAAGTCGAGCTGCCCGAGATTCACAGAATTTACAGATAATTTGAAATTTTTGTGATTTATATCGTTATCGGACGATAGAATTCTTATATCGGGATATGAGATTTTGGTCATATCGCACAGCCCTACTAGCACATTGTCCATTCTTTCTTGCTTTGGATCAAAGAACTTGTGGTCAAAGGAGCTTGCAAAGAAAAGCGTCTGGACTTCTATAGAAGTCCAGACGCTTTTCTTTGCAAGCTCCTTTGACTACGATGACCTGGATGACTGAGAACCTTCACAGACACAAAGAACTTGTGCTTTAATAAGATGAGCCACATGGTTTTAATCATGTCTGGATATGATACAGAATAAAATCTTGTTAGTCTTATCATACAAGATTTAAGTATCTGTGCAGATAAGTGTTTGATGCTGAGAAGCAGGCCTTATTAATGTGCCAGTTACGAATGTAACAACAATATTTTATAATCGTAATTTAAAACAAAAAAATTCATGATACATTTATAGTTCACACTTAAGATCTTTACTAAATTTATCAATCAGTATTCATCTGTTTATAATTTTCAGACAATAAAAGATTAACATGATTCCTGCCTGTAGTATTTCCTATAACATGAAAAAAAAGAGAAGGAAAATCTGGACATGATTCATAAACAGACTCTGCATTATTCAGCAACACTAACATTTGGAACCTAAAGCAGCATTTTAAAGGTCTGTTTGCTGGCAAAATGTCACTGAAGCAGATGGGAAACTTAAGCTTGTTCGGTGCTGTTGCTATTGCTGCTGCTGTTATTTAAGCCCTGGTCACACAGGCCTAGAGGCTTGCTTTATTTAAGAAATACAAAACACAAACAACAATAACACTACATATTTCCATCCAAGACAGAAAAGTAAAACCTGTATATTTCAAATAGTCCCTTTATCCATCTTTCAAAAAATAGCCAGTAGCTCTGTATAAAAATAACTGCCTTTAACGGTTTAGTTTTATTCTGTAACGCTTGCTAAAAGAAAAGGATGTATTTTTTTTTCTACTGCATCGTCTGTGTTGCAGTGTTTCCCACTGACTATTTTCATTATGTAATCTTGTTTTCAGATATGTCGGCACTGATCTCACTCAGGAAGAGAGCACAGAGTGAGAAACCGTTGGCAGGTGCCAAGATTGTGGGCTGCACTCACATCACTGCCCAGACTGCAGTAAGATTCATCTCTGACATCGAGCTTCAACGCCTGAGCAAAGACCGCACTGTGATTGTGTCTGTTCGTCATATAGGACTTTAAATCACTATTTAACTGCTTCTTACTTCACACAAGCTCGTGCTTCCTCTTATTATTATTATTTTTAATTAAATGAGTAAAAAGAAAATCTATTGTATTTCAATTAAAATGTATGTAGCTGGCTGTGTTCATGGGCTGTCAACAGCCAGATGATCCCAAAGAGTTAAAGATGATGTATGTAGACGTGGGTCATGGTAAATTCATGTGTTATATAACAATAAAATACACTTATTGTGACTGTACTGTATGTTTTCAGGTGCTGATTGAGACTCTGGTTGCTCTCGGAGCTCAGTGCCGCTGGACCGCATGCAACATATACTCCACACAGAATGAAGTGGCTGCTGCCCTGTCAGAGACAGGTAAGCAGCAGAGATGGTGAAGAAGCTCATAGACCACGTTGAGTCTTCTAGGCGAGCTTGATTGCAAACAACATTGTGATAACAGCAGAACACAGCATCAGATAAGGCTTCTTTTTAATCTTTAATGAGCAAAGGTTTGTTCTGTTGTGCGAGCGTCTCGTGGCTTCTAAAACCAAGGTTACGGTTTGTAAATGTTAAACTCATGACAGTTCATCCCTGCAGACTTAATGGGAACACATAACTCTGTCCATGTAGTGAATTAGCAGCACTCTTTATGCCCTTTATCTGCGGTTGCTATGTGATGGTCAAAGTGTGCATTAAATCTTCAGAGTAGACTCGTCATGATCGGGAAGGCTGGGGGAGTCTCAGTGATCCTGCATTTTTATTTTATTTTTTTACAGGGTGTCTAGTGCTCAGTTAATTATTGCTGTACGTACTGTACTGAGCTGTTCATTAAACTGAAGGGCACATAGAGAGTACAAATGTCTGCCACTATTAAACTGGTCTCAAACTTGCTTTTACACCCAGTAATCATATTGGTATCATCTGTTTGGAGTATGACACATTTCATTTGAACAAATACTATGTCATGAAAAATCTTTGGTTTCCACTGGGATGAGTGAGATATTACATCTATAATACCAGTTATCAAGCGAAGAGGTGAATTTGACTGTATTCACTGTCTTTATTTAAGACTTTATGTATGCTTTCATGCAGTTTATCCAGTTTCTGCTCTGTGAAATGAACGAGACAACGTAATTGCTCATCAACATTGAAGTGGTTTCTTGATATGACGTACTGCTACTGAGATATTATCGCCCATCTGCTATGTTTCAGGTGTGGCTGTGTTTGCCTGGAAGGGGGAGTCTGAAGATGACTTCTGGTGGTGTATTGACCGCTGTATCAACACTGAGGGCTGGCAACCTAATATGGTTGGTGGAAAACATTTTTGCCAGGTGTAATATGTGAATGATGTGCACAAACAGCAATGTTGAAAAGCCCCAAATAACACCAGAAGAAGAACCCGTTCATTAATAACAGTCTGTAAATATTTAATTACTGAAGAGAAGATGAGAAACGCCACGCTCTGTTTATAAGATGTAGCAGATGTAGCCATTCTTGTATTTTGCTTGTTTACATTATTGTATTTTGCACAACTCTGTTGCTTGTGAAGCTCGCACACAAGAATTTCACTCACATGTACTGTACCAATGTACCTGCACATGTGATGTGACAATAAAAGTGATTTGATTTGATAAGAAGATGACGAATCTTTTCCTCCTGCTTATTAGATCCTGGATGATGGGGGAGACTTGACACACTGGATGTATAAGAAATACCCCAACGTATTCAAGAAGATCAGGGGCATTGTGGAGGAGAGTGTCACTGGGGTTCACAGGTAATTTATTTTTGTATATGTGGATATTTGCTTTCTTGACACATTTAGTTGCAAGCCAACATGTTTCCATCATGTTTCTGTCTAGGTTGTATCAGCTGTCTAAAGCTGGAAAACTGTGCGTGCCTGCGATGAATGTAAATGACTCTGTGACAAAGCAGAAGTTTGATAACCTGTACTGCTGCAGAGAGTCCATCTTGGATGGGTGAGTAAGCTCGGGTTTTAAATGTTTTGCTCATGTATAAACAATATTACAGTTTGTTTGTTGGATAACTTAAATAACATGGTTTAAGGGGGGAGGGGAAGGGGGAATCCAGTAATTTTAGTAACTTTTCTAGAAGTGATAAAGGAGAACAGCTTATCAACTTATTTAAAACCTTTAGATATATGTGCTTTTCTTTATACAAATCCATCTCTATGTACACTTGTACTTTATATTTGAATCAATGTAATATAAAGATCAGAGGGAGCTAAGCAAGGTAATTTTGTGTTGTGTTATCATTTGTCTACAAGTGGGAAAATCTGGCAGAACAGGCCCTTTATGGTCTGCTTTTCATCTCAGCATCATGTTAGTGGGGGCAAACACAATGTGCTTAAATCTCTGGATGATGGTCGATTTGGACTGTGGGTAATTCTTTTGGCTTTTGGGTCAGCTTTTCACAGGAGTGAAGAGAGTGAGGAATAAAATGGAGAAAATCTTTTTGTTCAGCTGCATCACTTGTGTTGCAAAAGGGTCTCGTGACCACGTTGTAAAGAAAAATAAGCATATATCACAGCATTATGAATAATGCTGTGATATATGCTTATTTTTCTGATTGTTATTAATGAATTAATAACAATCATAATTGATGTTACTGGAGGACGGACAGCCTCATATGCTGCTATCACAAAGAATGTTGCCGTTAAAGATCTAAACTTGATTTTTAAAGAGATGTTACCCTTGGAAAAACTTGTCTAGTGTGAACATTGCAGACTCTGCAGTCTCTGAAACAGCCTGACAGCACAGTTACATTTATAACCCTACTGTTATTTGGCAGCATAAAAGGTCTAGTGTTCTTTAACAGTGTGTGCACATTTCTGCATGGGAACAGTGCTTGCTGTGCTTTTCTTTGCTTACTGCCGAAAATTTATTGCTGTTCCTCTGGATTAATTATCAGCAGGTACAATGTTGTCTAGTAGCAGGTGTTCCATTATGAAATACTAATGATATTTCCTCGGTTAGTGACCAGGGCTAACTGAGAAAATTGGCTTCCACATTACTGTGTAAATTTAATTTGAAGTGGGCTTGTATTGGAAGCAGGTCTTATTTTCTAATACCCTCTATTTGACAGGTGTAATTTGTCATATTTTTGGTGCCTTGCCTAATCAGCTTGTTTCCTTTATTAAAGTTATTGCACTATAATGAATATTGTGGAGAACAGCGAGCCACTTCTGATAAGGATTGGTGAAGTGGCTGGAGTTTCTCTGCAGACAACATGAGGGGCTCACTTTTCATGCCTGCATCTCTGCCGAGGGATTGTTCTTAACCCAGAAACCCACTGCACTCCTGCTGTCACAGCTTATTTAGTCTAATATGAATGACTAACTGAATTATATAAATATAATGGGACCAACATGGTAACTTGCTATAAATGACTGTGTGTAGGATGTTTTTATTGCATGCATTTAACATGATACATGTTATTACATGAATGTTGGCATTATCAAACCTTTTTAAGGAAACTAACTGATGATATTCTGCACAGAAACCATAAATACATAATTAAAATAGCTCCGTAGGACACATCTGTAAATCTTTTTAAGTCTTAATACTACTTTTGGTCTAACTCGTCGAACAGTCCATTTCCTACTGCTTATTGGAGTCGTGGGGGCAGCAATATAAGCACAGATAATCCCAGAACTCCTCACCTACGAGGCACCCAGGAAGGATCCTGATCAGATTCCTGGACTACCTTAAATTGCTGCTTTCAATGTTGGTTAATAGTGGCTCTATTCCACGTCACATCCTGTCCCATCCTGTCTCTAAGGCTGAACCCAATTATCCTACGAAAGAGGCTCAGTTCTGACGCTAGTATCAATCTCATTGAACACTACCCAGAGCTTGTGACCATGTGTTCAGGGTAGGAATGAGGATCGACCTGCTTTCACACTCATTTCTGTCTTTAGCACAGCAGACCGGGACATTGTCAGCATCATCGAACACATAGAGTCAATCAGTCAGTCAAACTCCCAGATTCATGAGAGACTTAAACTGCTCCATTTGGGGCAACAAAAATTCCCCGGACAACATGGCTCTTAGGATCACTAGAGCGCACAGACTCCAGTGTGACAATGTGGAAATTTGGGATATATTACAGGGACTTCTGATACAAGCAGTGCCAAATAACATTTTACTGTGTGCCATAATTTTGCAAACACCATTACAGATTGGCAGTTTTGTTTTCCAATTCTACAAAATGTGCTAATTTTGTGTCTTAAACGTCTGTAGTTTGAAGAGAACCACAGATGTCATGTTCGGAGGCAAACAGGTGGTCGTATGTGGTTACGGCGAGGTGAGTTGTTTCCTTTCAGTTTATCATTCTGCAGTAATCATAATCGCATTGTTGTGAAAATGTGTGAGACATTTTAAACATGCCCTTTAAACTCTTTTCTGTAGTTTGCCATTCATGAATTATTATTTTGTCTTTTCAGGTTGGAAAAGGTTGTTGTGCTGCTCTGAAAGCATTGGGAGCCATTGTCTATGTGACAGAGATTGATCCCATCTGTGCCCTGCAGGCCTGGTGAGGAAAACATGATGAATGTATCGAGCGATATGAACAGGAAAAAGCTGCAGAGATAAAACCGAGCTGTCCAGAAAACTGTTCGTGTTAATTATCTGACAAAGATATGAAAAACTAATGATCAGCTTTAACTCAAATGCACTACACACCCAATCAACAATTGATTTGCTTGTCAGTAAAAAGATTTTCCAGCCTGTCACTGTCCAGGCCTGAGCTGAATTCAGAATCTCTTCCTTCTTTTGTGTATAAATAGCATGGACGGATTCCGAGTGGTCAAGCTTAATGAAGTCATTCGCCAAGTAGATGTCATCATCACATGCACTGGTAACTACATTTAATACACTGACATTTTTATAGCTTTTTAGGGGGCAGGGATAGCTCAGTAGGTAGAGTGGTGGCCCCATGATCGGAAGGTCGGGGATTCGATTCCCCTGAACAGCTACCCTGAGGTACCCCTGAGCAAGGTACCATCCCTACACACTGTTCCCCGGGCGCCCAATGGCTGCCCACTGCTTCACTGAGTGAATGGGTTAAATGCAGAGAGGAATTTCCCCACGGGGATCAATAAAGTACACTTTCTTTCTTTCTTTAATATAACATAAGAAGTTTTAAGTTCATGGAGTTTTCCACTGCTTCTTAGGGCTCCAGAGCGTTTATTTCTCCTGTAATAGATGAGGATGGTATATGTTTGTGCCTTTCTGTAGGAAATAAGAATGTGGTGACCAGGGACCAGCTGGACAGAATGAAAAATGGATCCATTGTCTGCAACATGGGACATTCCAACACTGAGATTGATGTGGTAAAATAGTGCTTTAAAGTATGATGGTAGAATTTAAAATTTAATACCACGATTATAACCAGCAGGAACAAACATATAAGTAAAGATCAAATAAATATTCTGTCATTTTAAATTATCACAAAACGAGGTTTACTTGTGTTCTCGTCTCAACTAGGCAAGTCTACGGACCCCCGAGCTGACCTGGGAGAGAGTCCGCTCTCAGGTGGATCATGTCATCTGGCCCGATGGCAAGAGAATTATCCTCCTGGCTGAGGTGACTGCCTGTGTCTGTGTGCCTTCGCTTATGCATTTGTGTCAGTTATAGCTACACAACATTAAACTGCGTTACAGCTATGCACGTGTGATCTCAGGTTGATAGCATCCTTGTTAATAAACAGTGTTGATCCAGTCCGATCCATTCTCCTCTTTAATGTGCTGTCATATCAAATCACTTTCAGCTTATGCTAGACTGTAACAATTGTGCTGTAGACCTTTGATTAAATTACTTTTTAAAGCCTGCGATAACGTGTTGTTTTTTGTCCAATAGGGACGTCTCCTGAACCTCAGCTGTTCCACTGTCCCTACCTTTGTGTTGTCCATCACAGCCACCACTCAGGTAACATGTAAATGGATGTTGACAGCAGCTGAAGCTAGGCCATATTTGCTGTTGATGTCTGGTGCAGATAGCAGAGTACATAGGAATCGGTGTGGTTTTTTTGTTGTTGTTTTTTCCATTTTCTGTAATTAGATGGCCGTCCTCGGAAATAAGCTCATTTGCTGACCCTGATATGTTATAATACACAGGACACTCAACATCTTCACGTTGTTTCTGTTCATAGATGCGCTCTGTCATTATAATCAGCAGTTCATAATTTAATCCTGCACTGTTCATTAAATTCATAATGTGCAATAAAATTTCAGCAGTGTTATTGATGTTTGTTTTCAGGCTCTGGCACTCATCGAGCTGTACAACGCTCCAGAGGGACGTTACAAGCAAGACGTTTACTTGCTTCCCAAAAAGATGGGTAAGGATTTAAATACTTAACCACTGCCTGTATTATTTACATGTTGAAAGCCTACAGGCATTATTTATGGACGCCTGCAAGAATGGAGTGCATGAACTGACAGATTCACATCTTCTGTGTGTGCGCCCATTTCTTTCTTATTAAAGGATGTCTTTGTTTTTCAGATGAATATGTTGCGAGTCTGCATCTGGCCACGTTTGATGCCCACCTGACAGAGCTTAGTGACGAGCAGGCAAAATACCTGGGTCTGAATAAGAACGGCCCTTTTAAACCCAATTACTACAGGTACACTTTTACACATTTAAAAATTTTAAAATGGGGAAATATTTTGAAACTTATATTAACTTATTGTTATTGCACTAGGTTGTTTGCCAACACATAAACAATTTTTAAGAATTGTGTTGCATTCACATTATCTTTTTTTGTTGTTGTTATTCACAGGTATTAGTCTGTCTCACCTGAGAACAACAGCATGTGGATGGTTCCTGATTAGTACCCGACCTCCAGGCAAAAAAAAGATTTGTGTATTGTATTTTTTACCCTTCATGGGACACATAGCTCTTTTACTCGTATTTTAGTGACTGTAGAAAGTTTTGCTGCTTTACCAATGGCACCCAAGCTGGCTATGAAAAGTGAAGCGTATGCACTCAGCTCATGTGACACGTGCAAAAAAAAGAAAATATGATTTTTTTTTTATTTTTTTTTATTGCATGAGTTTCCATTCTGGAAGCTGTTGAGTATATCAGCATATTGTGCCAAATGACTGTGAGAGGAGGGTTGTGGTTGTTCAAAAATATTAGTTGTTAAACATGTTAAACCCACACGGAGCACTATTTTTGTATAATCATTCCCTCCATGTACTGCAAAGCAGTCACTTAAAATGCCAAACCCAGGAATCTCAGGAGCTTACTGTGCTTTTTATGCACTTTTAGCTCCTTGTTTTGGAATTCTCATCAATATTGTGCTTAAAACTGTTTGCAGTCTTTTCCTTAAAAACAGACAAGCCAACAATTGCAAAAAAAAAAAGTGACGTGATTTAAACTCCTGGTTGTTGTTGTTGTTGTTGTTTTTTTTAATTTCTTCTCTCAGGAGTAGGTGGACCAAATCTGAGTTGAAAGGCCAGTCGATATGAGACTTAATGTTACTTTTAAACTAGCCAATGATTTGGCATTAATCGGATGTCAAATCAGTTTTTCCTGTGTATCTGCTGAGTAGGCAATCGTTTGCTTACAGATGAGCCATAATAACCTGATGAGCTGACTGTAAATCAAAGTTTTGTTCCTCTGAGTATTTTTACTGTCCAGTGGTCAGAAATTGCTCTGTGCTGCTTTAAACGTTTCTTCCTGCTTTGATATTAAAGCACTTAATCACCTTATACGTTCCATACACAAGATGCACTCCTGTTGTAGTATCCTCACAATTAGTGCTAACCTTGACTGGGTATAACAGAAACATAAGCGCTTGTTGAGCATAGCAAATGTAAGAGCTTGCCATTTTTTTTTTTTTTCTTGAAAAAGAATTTGTCCATTTATGAGGTTTTGGTGTCTGGTGAGAGTTATATCTGTACCTCAGGGCATTCAAATATCTCTAATTATTTGTAAATATATGTCAATGCATCTGCACTATCTAATCTTAGTATTCATGTGTAATCTGTTGGTTTGAATTGAATATTTACAGCACCTCTGTAAATTAGAGGGATATAATCGTGTCTGTGATCCGTGTCATTTGTCAGGTTTAGCTGTTGAGAGTAAATTGAAATTGGCGGCTATGTAAAGCTAGCTGAGCATTGTTACATACAACACATTTATACTGTACATACAGCAGCGTCTGATGAGCTGCTCTCATAATGCTGTGTCTTGTTAGATTTGTCTCAGGATTCTGTTAAAGAATGCTAACAACGGAGAAGTAACTGTCATTTCCTAAATGCTCTGGGACTAGACACGGATGAGCTTTGTTGTATTAGCTTTACCTCCCGTTATCTTGTGGTATTGTAGTTATTCTAATCCAACACAGTATGTGTGTTTCCAGAAGATTATGATCATTTTAAAGGCTTACGCACTGTGAGGCATAAACGCTTGTGAGGCTTGTTAAATGCAAAGTCACATTTTACTCTGTTATATTCACATGTGATATTTTTTTTAAACAGTGGGCACTTTGGATGACTGAGTTGAGCAACTCATTTTATGTCTAAACTAGGTATTACACAGATAGTTGTATCTTGTTGAACTTGCAGCTCTTCAACACATTTCATTGTGCTGTATCGCTTTACAGTTGACAGCACCGCTGTTCCTCTCAAGTGTTTGACACCTTGTTACCATTTTAAAATAACACGCCACATGACTGAGGATCCTGTTTCATCACCGCACTAAGTTTAAACCTGAATTTATAGAAACTGCGTAATTCATTTGTGCAGTAATTTTCAATTTGAAATGAACAGGTTGCCCCCCCCCCCCCCCCCCCCCCCCCGTTACGCCTGTTGTTTATTGAATAGTAGCCTACAGTGTGCTACTGCTAAGTGCTTTTCATCTTTGCACTAACAGCTTTAAGGGCATTACAACCATGGTTACTGATCAGTTGACAGTGCCTTGTAACTCAGTAATTTATATTCACATGGACCATCTGTGCGTTTTTCTTTTTATCCATGTTATTGCCCGTCGCATTTATTACCCTGCAATATACAGTTATAGCTATGCAGCAAAGAATCCTCAGCCTTTCTTCTGTAAAAATCAGTGTTTCACAAATTCCATAAAAGGTATGCTAATAATTACTGTAAACAGTTTGAATAAGCAGCATTTTACATTCTGATATTTACCTTTTACATTTATTGTGATGGGTTTTTTTTATTTTTTACCTTCTCTATGTTAGTTCTTGTAATAATGGCACATTTACTTTCATAATGGCACTCGGAAAATGCTTCGCTTTATAACTAATAGTGACAGTCACTTTAACCTAGTTGTTCCTCTGTTATAGAGACAAATGAATGTTATACTACTGGCACAAACAGCTTGACTTTTGTTAAATTGAAGTTAATCAGTATACCACTGTGATTTGGAAGCTGTACATTGTTACATTTGAATACAAGGTTGTCTACATTATATAGTACCTATAATGTTTGCTTATTTTTCAACTTTGTTTCTAGTTTGTTTTCATAATGTTAACTGAATACAGCTTGTTAAATTTCTCTTCACTTTCTCCTTTAATAAACTCCAGTTTAAATTTGAAAATGGCTCAGAAACATCATTTTCCTGCAGACAGACAATAAGCTTTACACAATTTGATTCCATTTAATTTATATAGCACCAAATCAAAACAACAGTTGTCTCAAGGTGCTTTGTATTGTAAGGTAATGACCCTACAAAGAAAATAGAAAACACCAAAAATCCTATGGCCGCCTAGGAGCAAGCACTTTGGTGACAGTGGGAAGGAACACTCCCTTTTAATAGGAAGAAACCTCCAGTAGAACCAGGCTTAGGGAGGGGTGACCATCTGCTGCAACTGTTTGGGGCCAACAACAAGGGGAGGAAGACGGGACAAAAACATGCTGTGGAGAGCCAGCAATTAATACTAACTAATAATTAAATGCAGAGAAGCATATAAACACATAGTGAGTGTTTATTCACTTACTAAGGCCACAGGCAAAAATATGTGGGTAACTGTGACAGCGAGTCAAATGGAACAATAATTTTTTTGTGTTCATTTCACTCAGCATAATCTTTTTTGGGCATATGTATAACTGGGGTGACTATGCCAGGTGGGAGAGCAGGTCATTTCTAATTGCAAGGTTGGTCCAGCCTGCATACCAAACATCCCTGAGCAAGATACTAAGCCCAAGTTACTTCTGATGCATCCATTAAAGTATAAACGTGTGTGCATGTTGGACAGGAAGCACTTACCTAGAAAGAGCATAGGGAAAAAAGTGCTTGTATGAATGGGTGAACTAGTTATGTAAAGTGCTGAATAAACGCAGAATAAGAACTAGTCCACTTACCATTGAAAAATAATGTAATTATGATGGTTAGAGTTGTGATTAGAAATTTACATCTACTCATGGGCATGAATGACGCAGCAATTTGGGGCTTTTAATGATATCCTGTGAACAAGCCTATGATTGTAGAGAATACATCTTTAATGGCTTTACAAAAACTGGTAGCACAAGCTTGGGATTTTCTCTAATCCACACAGGGTCAAAATATTATCGTCCCTTAGTAAGTTGCACTTCGACCAGACGCTTTCGGCAGATATAAACAAGCTTCTGACATAATTCTGGCTGAATATTTTACCACTCTTGGCAGAAATGTAGACTTCATTTAAATTGGTTGGTTTCCTAGCTCTTAAGTTAGCAAGAGCCAGGAAACAGGATTGAGCTCGGGGCTTTGGGAAGTCCCTTCTAGAAGCTATCTCCCCCCCAGTTTAAATAAATAATTTAAAACAAAAAAATTACCATCACATGCATGCACCGTGATAAGTGAATGCAAACATCTGACCACAACTTCATCCATAATTTACAATAAATGCGAATTCTATATTTTCTTTAATTATAACTGTTTTGGAGGATTTTAAACATCTTTAGATGTTTATCCATCACGTAGAAGAGAAGTTTCTGAGTAGTCCCGCATTAATTCTACAGTAGCTACGGCAGATCCTAAATACAGAAGCGGAGCTGTGAACTTTCTTCATCCTGAATGAGTCCTGCAGCAGATGTCAGGCTCTGCTCCGACTTCTGATCTCATCATCATAGCGTCAGTTTGGGATTGAGGCCTGAAGAGGCAGAGAAAAATTCATTTCAAAAATAATTCTACACAACCACACCTCGGGCCGCTGCTGCGGACCTTCGGACAAGATTCTGCGGATGCGCTGAAGCGAGTCCGACAGTCACGTTCCATTTCTCATCTCGCGAGAGTTCACTGCGCCCCCAAAAATTATGGACGTCGGTGGAAACGGTAGTGGGCTACCTGTAAACAATAAGCAGAGAGCTATGCTACCTAACAAAACCAGGGGCGAATTTACCCGCAATCAAAGAAAAGATTCAGAGGTACGTATCCAGATGTTTATGGTTGATTTCCAGCGTGTATTTTTTTTTAGCTAAAGAGACAAGGCCTTTCCTGCTGCTAGTGTAAAGTTAGCTAGCTCTGTCATTGTAGCACAATTAGTATTTCTAACATGATTCGGGAGTTAAGAGCAGCAAACGACCTTCATTACGGTGTTTGTACGTGTACCTAGCTGTACGGTGTTCCGTTTGTTTTCCGGTGTTAACACATTGAAAAGCGAGCAGGAGACAGCTAGCTGACGTTAGCCGGCTACAGGCCAGGCTTGTGTATGTGTCAGAAACCTAAGGACCTGTTGAAAACTGATTGTTTAGGCCCTGGTTAACGCATTTAATCTTTCTAATGCGACAGTCGGCTATTACAGTGTAATTTTACTGTATATATGCAAAATTGGTCACCCATTTGTGTGACGTTTAAAGAAAACAAGCTGAGTGTTTCCGTGTAGTGGTTTAAATAGCCACTGGAGACAGTC